AGGAAAATCACCAACAAAATTTAGACTAATAGATTCAGGCAAGATAGGAAAAGACTTACAACAAAAATGTCGGCATGGAAGCAGAATTGCTGCAGTTGGAGATTCAAAACATACTTTACAAACATGGGAATTGGCGTCGCCATTCCCAAGGTACTTGAGCTCTTTTTCCTTCATTTCTTGCATGCGCGCCTGAAATCATAAATTGTACAAACATTATTAACATAACACATCAAAGTCTCAGAAATGAGTTGCATAACAAATTTTGGAAAGTGAAAATCTTTCAAATGATGTCAACGTGCACTAAGAATAAAATTAACATGGATTATAATTAGTTTTCTTTTAGTCATGCATTACCAAAATAAAAGAGAACAAACAAGTTATGATTAGAAGTCATAGATAATTTAAAAGTGCAAAAGCTAATAGAGAACATATTTGAATAATTTCTCAATCAAGAATTTTAGTAAAATCTATTCAACAAGTCAAAATCTATTCTTAACATGGATTATTAAGAACTAAAATAAATTATTAGAAGTCGTTCATCGCAGATCGCAATTTAAATACAGAGAAATTTCGTTTGCAATTTACCACAAGTTCAGTTTGCAAAAATAATGTTGAAATTTAAATTAATAAACTATAAATAGATAAATAAAAATATTGGGTCTGTATCTTTTTAATCAAAATCAAATCAAATTGATTTAATATCCATTATTCACGGCCTTTATTCTTTATTTTCCTTATTCCCGACCTAAACCCAATAATATAAAAACTAACGGAAAATCAATTCAAAATTTTCTAAGACGAAGAAAAATATAAATAATTCCCTAATAGGGTTACCTTGAGCCGAACAACCAAAGGCTCTTCTTTGGGAATTTCATCATCTGGTTTTGGTGCATCAAAGAGCTGCTCCTTGGGAACTATATTACTTTCAATGTCATTAATTTTTGTACCATTTAAGGGTTGTGCACCATCATTTTTTTTATCCATGTTCGATTCTGGAACAGCATCCCCTTCTTTTTTCAACTTGGCAACAAGGATCCACATATTTGCTAGATCATTCTCCAAGGCCTCTTCTCTTTTCTTGGCCTCTTCAGCTTTTTTCCTGCACTGTTCCTCCACAAATTCCTTCTCGGCTAATGCAGCCTCCAGAGCTGCCTCTCTTTGTTTCCTAGCCTGTAGTTCCATCTTCAAATCATCAGCATCAAGATTCCATGACTCAAAATCATCCACAACAGCTCCTGAAATTTCATTAGCACGGCTAGAAATCCTCCCCTTCCTTCCAGATCTTGCATCACCGAACTTGCGGTTAATACCGTTAACTGTTTGCACAAGAGCACCACGGGAGTTGACCAGATCTCGCGTAGCCATCAATTCTTTTTCCAACTTTGCATTCTGCAATGAAATTTTTGTCACTTCCCCAGCCAGATTTTTCAGTTCCACAGCAGCAGCAGAGGCCAGTTCTTTGGCATAAGAAGCTTCTTCAGAGAGTTTCTGATTCTGAACACGCAACCCACTATTCTCTTCTGACAAGTGAACTTGCTCTAGTTTTAGCTTTTCATTTTCAATTTCCTGAAAATAGGGAAGAGAAATGGCCATTTAGTACAGGATGAGATGGGAATACAAAATTATATAAAAGGAAAAACCAACAAAAATATTCAACTATACTACTACAAAAGAAAAGCTACCTGGGATTGTATTTTCTTTTTCAACTCATCGGCGTGTTCTCCTGATGAACACTGTTCAGAAGACGTTAACAATGTACCACTAGTAGCTGTTGCAAGTTGCTGCTCTAGCTGCTTCACCTTTTCTTGCAACTCTCGGTTTTCAGAACACTGTTAATAAAAGAAAAATTGATGAGGGAGACTACCAGCACA